GTGCCTAAATTGTAAGTGTGCCCTTCAGCCAGATAGCACACACCGTATCCAGTAAATGTGAATTTGTATATGCAAATTTTTACAATTTTGAAGTTTTAGCAGTTGAATAGTTAATGTTAGAATCTCTTTTAATGAATTCTTCCTAGTGGAAAAATTCCGAGGTGCTTTACAAACATAATCTTATCAGGTTTATCAGATCAGTGAAAACACTTAAAAATAAAATTAGTTTAGTTATACTTAATCTTCTTGAGAAATTAGGGTCACCAATTATCAAGATTAATTTAATGAGAAAACAGACCAAAGCCCCTATTTAAGGGGAGATAAATTATGTGGTCCAGAAATAGAATCTGAAGTGGGAACACAAACGTTGGGCATCTCTTAATCTGTGTGTCAACTATATAAAACGCACTTAAAAAAAGAAATGGAAACGAATTGTTTTTCTACTATCTTAGAAAGGTAACCTCCTCCTGAAAAAAAGGTTTAATAAATATCATAAAGCATAGATTATGTTGTGTTTGTTCATGTGCGTTTTATATGCAATTTTGTAAAAGGCAGATTAAGTAATAGTTCAAAGGATTAGTTAATGCCAGTTGAAAGGTAGTTCTCATACAGGTAAGTAGGTTAAGATTATGTGATTTTTTTTTCTGCACTAACATAAGAAAACTCACTTATAATTTAGAGATGTTAAATACAGAAATGAAGTCAACCAGTTCATATAGATGTAACCATAGCTTCATAAAAATTTAGGGATGCCATAATAGGATGAAGGGGAACCCCCACCCAAGGATTATATTAACATCAGGCAAAATTAGCTAGATGGATAATTTTAGCCTACACGGATTTGTTCATTTCCATCTATCCAGGACACTAGACTAGAGTAGACTATCTATCTAAGATAGATAGAGTATCTATCTATCTTAGACTGGAGTAGACTAATCTGAAGCTGTTACAGTAGGTCAACTATTCTAATTTTTTTCCTCCTCGTCTTCTATGAGGCTAAACTGCTGGCTCAGAGTACCACCTGAAAAGAACAAAGTAAGCAGTTATTTAAAATTTATGATGTAACAAACGCTGTGTTTTCTGTAAGTGAAACTAAATTGGCATGAAATAGGTATCATTCCCATTTTCCAGGTAAGAAAACCTAGGTTCCCAGAAATGAAGCATTTTATTCAAGAGCCCACGGATCTGGGTTTGGGGCAGAGTTTCCCCTGACTCTGAATCCTAGACAATTTCTTCTCCTCAATATAATAGCGTGGTTTAGTTAGTGTTTAATAACATCTTAACTTTGAGAAAAGAATGGTACTAATTCACTTTTGATTTTACCCTATCTCAGTGATTCTTGTGGGGTGCGTCACCACAGGAACGTCAGTGATGGGATGTATCTCAGGAGAAATCCCATACCACTGATTCTGGGGAGACAGATACGATGGGGTTTGATATATAGTTCAACCAATCTTGTATCCAAATTATTTAACAGTTAATTGCTATTTCTCGGATATTTTCAAAATGATTATACTGGCTTTCTAAACAGCACTCCCCTAAATACTAATATTAGGATCCAGTACTAGGTGGAGACACGTTTAATAGCAGCATCATCCTTGAGAGAAAAAAGGCAAAATGATTGCTTTACTATTTGTTTAATGTGTATTTGTACCAAGCGACCCATGTTCCTTTTATCCCTGTGATACCACTGAGCAAACATTTGCTAGTTTTTTCTCTTGCCCAAGAATAACTGAAGTGGATTATCTCTCCCCCTATCTCTTTCACTTGTCTTCCTTCTTGTAACTGTTAAACAAGGAATTAACTTGATACATCTATGTTAAACAGATCTGAAGATGCAAAGATTTACAAATACCTACCTCCATCTACCTCCACACGACCTTCCATACACTCATACATAGTATGCACAGATATACAATATGATATATAATCTTCAGTGATTAAAATACAAATTATGATCATAAAAAGGATTTGTGATATGCAGCCCAGTAAAATTTAAAGCGTACAGTTTAAAAATTATATCACTGAAATTTCCGCTTCTAGATAGGATGGAAAGAGAAGCTGATAATCCATGAGAAAATAGAAAAATCTGGAAAATGTGAAAAATAAGCAGTTTAAAGGGATCAGAGACAGCAGAAGCAACAAGGCCTAGAAGGTCCCCTCCTCAAGATTCTTAAGGGAAGAGAACCCTGGAGAGGTCAGGGAGGAATTTGCAACTCGTTTTGTTGATTCTGGACTTTTGGAAGAGCCCAGACTTGGCCTAGAAAGAAGGTCATAGCTGGGCTTTAGAGAAACCAGCAGAGAGTTGAGGAATCTTGAGGGATGGGAGTGACAAATATAGATGTGCGAGATCTCAAACACTTAGCCAATTATCCCCCGACATTTGTCAAATTCTGAAGCTACAGCATGTAGAGGCACAAAAGCTAAGCTAACTCCCTGAAAGCACTCCAGATTTTTGACAGTCTTGCAACCCTAAGAAGAAAAATATTGAAAATTTTGGCATTCAAGATCTACCAAGAGAAAAGCCACACATGAACACACAGCTTAGGGTTTGTCCTGTGGATCAATTCACCCACACCGATGAGCTAAGAAAAGCTTATACACTTTTATATTGTTGGGAAAATAATTGAAAGGAGAATAATATTTTGTTATATGAAAGCATATGGAACTCAGATTTTTGTGTCCACAAGCAAAGCCTTACTTGTCAGAACACATCCATGACTTTTGTGGGTTGACTTTGGCATTTTTGCATAATGAATTGTTGCAAGAGACTGGATGATCTGCAGAGTTTAAAATATTTACTGTTTCCCCTTTACAGAAAATGTTTGCCAGCTTGCATGAGGCTATTAATTGAAAATCTTGGTGGGCAAACATTCTAAGAACATGGGTAAACCAGAGATTGATTGCACTGACCTCTGGATTACCTGCATGCTCTCCAGTACCCTCAAGTTGGTCCAGTTCTGGATTAGGTTACAGTAATTAGCCTTCACCCTATCTGCTTAGCAGAAGAAGGGTAAATCTTTGCTGGAAACAGATATTATCATTTGGTACCTCTACCATTGTAGCATTCAGAAAATTACTCCACTAAGTTTGTTTGGTCTGAACTAAAGTATAACACAGATAAAGAAGCCTAACTCAACTGACAGGTTCAGTAGCAATCCATTAACATCCAACATTTTAAGCAAGTAGTATTAATCTGTTATTTAAAGAAAAGAAAAATAAAAGATAAGTAACAACATGAACTTAAAAGCAATTTTCTTGGCAAGACAATTTAAAATACATGTCTGGAATCACAGAATTCTAACTACATGTCAGTTTCCATTGTAAAACATTTCAGTAATATACAGAATAAAGTCAATGAATTATTTATTTTGTTGAAAATGAAAACAGTAATTGACCAGTTATAAATCATTCTGAGCTAGAAACTGAATTTTAGGACTCATTTTCCAATGACACAGGGTTCAGGGGCACTGGCATCATATTTTAGGCATCTACCACCCTAAAAATACTCATAAAATACAGATGTGGGAAAAACTGATAACACTAGAATATTATAATTATGCACTATGTTATGCCTGTATCTCTCCCAGGATTTTAAAATTTGGCTTTTTGCAATGAAAAGAACAACTCAAAGGAGCAAGACAGCTGAGCAGTTCAATATGTCACAGCATTGCAAAATTTTAAAATCCATTTTAATTAAGATATACCAAGGTTCACATCTATGACATAAGCAAATCATAACTCCTACATACAACCAATCAGGTCATTTTAATTTTCAAACCAGCACAATTTGCAGCATGTCTTATTGGTGGCAATGAAATGTAACCTAATTGTGCCCTAAAGTCCAGGTCATGTAATAATTTTATGCAATGCATCATTGTGCTATTATGCAAATGCGATGCAGATATGGCTATGAATATAAAATTAACTATGGATATTCATTAAAATTCAGATATTTGTGCATTTCTATATGTCCATATAAATTGCAATCTCTAATTTTTAATTTAACTTGGTATTCTACCTAGCCGTGAACAATCACCGTATAACGTAGGTTGTACAATTTCATCTGACTACTATCTGAGAAAGCCAAAATTACTATTAAAATGAGAGGACTTTTAGAATTAGGGACTTTTAAAAACTTTTTTTAAAGTTTAAATTGACTCTGTCTCCTTCTTCACTTTTCAGAGCTCCTCAGCGACAGGTGCCTCTGGAACAGAGCTCTAATAACTTGATCACCTGGTCAAACGATAAGTCATCAAGGCAGTGTACCAGGGATCATTTCAGCTAAATTACCAGGGCTCGTTTAAAATTAAACTCAGTATTTTTAAAAATTATAAATATCACTAATAACATATTTCACCTATGTAATGAACTGATTTAAAAATAAAGCTTACATTTATCTAGTCCTAATTTAAAAATTTTTCCCCCTACATAAAAACAGCCTATTTTTAAACAAGTCAATATCATTATGTTAAGAACCAGAAAATACTACAGTTAATCTAAGACATTCGTGTAATTAGTTATTTTATTGAAATGTCTGAATAAAGGACAGTATATAATATCTATCTATCTTCATACTACTGATTCCTGGATAACTGGTAGAATGCTATGCTTTTGAACACAAAACAAATATTATAGTTCCACAATTCTGTTTCTCATATGCATCATATCTGGTTCTAATTAAAAGATCAGAGTCCTCAGAGAGACATATTGTGAACAAAAAGTCCTTCGTAGGTGGTGGAAAGTCAGGCCAGGAGTCACACAGAACCAACAGAGATGAGAGAGATGTGATATTCAGCACATTCCCCTCAGAGAGAAAAAGCAAAGCCACATGGCCCTGCTGAAACGCCGAGTTAATCCTCTCCTATCTGAGCATTAAACATTACGTCTTTAAAACTGTTTCAACTACATTACTGCTACTTTAGGTGAGACTCTCCTTTCAGAAACACAAACATTCTCAAAGCGCATTGCTGAGACACCATAAAAACTTAATAACCTACCATTTTCTTTGCACTCTTCTGGAGGTTTAGCCTTTTTCGCAAGTCGTGGATCCAGCCATGATGTTGTCTTTGTGTTATGGCTGAAAAGAAAAGAGATCACTCTGAACAGACACATACTAAAAGGAATCAAGTTTATTCCTTAAGAAAAAAAAAAAAGCGGGGTTAGTCCAACAAAATTGCAATCGATACACTTAATTTGCTTACTGGTTCTGAGTAGCCCTGGAGGTGGTGTAACAGTAATTGTGAAGGCAGCTGTAAATTTGGCAACCTCAGCTCCCTGTCCTCAAAGCAGCTATTTTTATTAAAATCAACTAGAATGTTGCCAAGTTAACCTCATTGAAAATGCAGAACTCATCCAGAGCAAAAGGAATTTATTACAAATACAGGATTCTCCAGTTGGAAGAGCACAGTCTACAGGCTCTGATAATGTTTCCTGAGTTTTTAAAAGAATTATTTTCATCTTCAACCTGCCCTTTTCATAAACGGTTGTTTGTTACTATTTAACCACAGAGCTGGCAGAAGCAATACAGAAGTGATGCAAATTACAGCATGTTTTTGCGATTCTTACATTTCCTCAAAAAAATAATTAATAGCCATTTTATTAACTCACATTAGGCTACCTTCCCTTTAAATACTTTCAACGCAGTTAGGAAGGGAGGGAATAAAAATGTCTGCATTCTAATGTTTCTGGAATGAAATCTGCAGAAATAAATAAAACATGAAATGTTGGTTTTGAAAAAAGTGTTTTGTGTATATGTCTTTTGCCAGAAATTTGAAAAGCAAAAGAAAGATGTTTTTAGAACAGAGTTAAAGTGGTCCTCGAAAATCACCTGAGCTGGATTTATTAACAATGCATATTCTAGATCCTTAGGGGACTACCAAATCAGAATCTTTGAGGTGGGGCTACAAAATCTCCATCCTTGGCAAGCACTCCAGGTAATTCTTATGCACATTGTAATTCAAGAACCACTCAATGGCTCATAACTGCCCATTGGAGCTAAAATATTTATTGTGTGCAGCTGTCTCGGGGGATCTCATCTAGCAATGGCCAAATTAACAAGACTGTGACATTTGTGAGGGCTTTGGGAAAAGAATGAGCAAAGTCGCAGGTGTGGGAAAGTGTGAGGTTTATACAGGGAATAGTTAGAAGGCCAATGAAGGGAACATAGAAAGGGAAGAGCAGAAAATAGACTGGAAATAGAAATTAGGGTCACGTAATGGGAACACTTGAGCACAATTGCAAGGGGGTCAAAATGATAATGATGACATCAATTTCACAAATATTCTCTTTCTTCAGAGAAATTTAACTATATTTTATCTTATCTAATAAACCAGTCTGCACATAAAAGGAAGGTCAGGAAATTCACCCAGGCAGTAGGGAATTGTAGAGACGAGGTTTCCACCTAATAAGGGGGATTTCAAGTCAGGAAGGTGGGGGAAGGAGTTAAGATCAATGGTGGAAAGCTACTTCACGCTGTTACAACGTTCTTCAGATGGCATTTTCTGGGTGATCATCACATCTGTCTACCTGTGGAGTTATCTTTGATTTTAGAACTGTGACATTAAAACCGTTGGGTCAGGAAGTTTCTGTTCCTGAAGAAGATCCCCTTTTATTTCGACTTTCATGGGAGATAACGAGAGAATACTCTTCATTATTTTCTTCACATTTATGAGCTCTTCAATGATAAACGCCTCTAGACAAGGCTGTAGTAATTTGATCAGATTAAAGACTATGAATTTGATCAAATGATAAATCATCAAGAGAGCATGGCAATTTCTATTTTTCCCCAATTTGACCTTTGTAAAGTCTGATCATGCTTCATTATCGAGTTTTTGAAGGATATAAAGTATTGGAGACACTTTTCATCTGATTCTGGTTGTTGTTTGTATGATATAAATATTACATTGTCTTTTTCTCTGAAGATTTGAAGCCCATGGATGGGTTGTGGAATACCCTAACCAGGAAAGGAGCTGAGCTTAGGGGCAAAGAGCACCCTTGAGCATGACAACCAGCCAGTGTGGAACCAAATACAGAAAGTATGAAATGCTTTCTTCTGGCATGGGGACATCTGGACCTTTGACCTGCTTAATCTGGCTTGATTTGTTAACACAGGCACCATGTTCCTCTAGGGGAAATGCAGCCAGAAAGGCATTGGTCTAAGAGCCATTAGGGTTCCAATAAGATGTATTTACCAATCCAGAGAGATCTTAGATCACAGACAGACTGGCTGATGGATGGCCAAGATGAGGGTCCTATGGGCATCTCAGGAGAGGAAGCCATAAGAGCAGCTACTCAGCCATACTGTACATCAGGGTCACCATGGGTACTGCAGCCTCAGGGCAGACCAACATGTGGAGAGAAACACCAGACCCCTCCTCGCACTTCCTTCCATCACCTGACACAAGTCTTTTGCCAGATCTTCTGAGCCACATCTTGTTTCTCAGGTTCTAACTATGCTGAACATGAGGGTAAGAGGGTCATTGGGTTCAGGATTTACTGTTTTCAGTGTAAAAAACAAAAGTCAATTTAAAAATGCTCTTTATAGGCTGGGCACGGTGGCTCATGCCTATAATCCTAGTACTCTGGGAGGCTCAGGCAGGTAGACTGCTTGAGCTCAGGAGTTAGAGACCAGCATGAGCAAGAGTGAGACCCCCATCTCTACTAAAAATAGCCAGGCATTGTGGCAGGCTCCTATAGTCCTAGATACTAAGGAGGCTGAGGCAAGAGGAATGCTTAAGCCCAAGAGTTTGAGGTTTCTGTGAGCTATGATGCTATGGAACTCTACCCAGGGTGACAGAGTGAGATTCTGTCTCAGAACAAAAAAAAATTTTCTTTATAGACAATCCTCAGTTCAAAGTGTACATGTATATACATGTGTGTCGATGTTTCTAGGAGGCAGGAGGAAATGTTAGGAGGTAGGTAAGGAAAATAATTGTCCCTTCTTTCTGTTCTCACATGCTTCTTCTAAATCCTTCCCCCACTTTAGCAAACAGTTATTTCTAGGACTCTAGACTTATTCACAAAAGCAAACACATCCATGGAAAAGTATTGAGGGACCATTACTAAGCTACTGCAGGGAGTTAAATTATCCTTTCTATACCACACCACAATGGGCCTCAATACTGGCTAATTTAGTAAAGAAATGTGCATTTCCTGAGCTTATATAAAGCATTTCATTACAGGATGATTTTTTCTTTAGTTTGAACTAGCACTAACGATGTGTCACTTTAATACATTTTGACAGATTGAATCTCTTATAGTTAGCATTTTGAGTTGATCTTCAAAAATGATTCTGAAATAAATATGGGTAGTAGTTACCTCTAGTAATTGTCTTAAAACATCACATGAAGATACAGCATAGTATTTTTCACTCGTGGCTCCCACTAGCCTTGTAATTTGTCTGGTCCTTCAAGATGCCTTACAAGAGAGGTATTTGTAATGCATTTGAGAGACAACAGAGCAAGTGGCTTTTCTACTTCACTTAAATTATACATTTTTAAACCTTAATAATTCCATTAGAAAATAGGATTCAGTGTTGGGCAGAAAACTATGTAGGGATTTTTCTTATTCTGTATAACCAAGTTTGAGGAAGTGATTTCTTTGTGTTTTTCCAGCGGGTAGATTCAGACACATGACATCAGTTTTCCGTATCTATCTAAGTTGTATGTCACAAAAATGCCAAGAAAAGAAAATGCTAACACTATATAATCTTAAATTTCAATTCACAGAGACACGTACACATATACAGGCTTCACTTGCACAGGAACTGTTCTTATTTTAGTTGGGGAATAGAACAGATATTTTCTAGGACCTTTAAATCATAATAATATACGTAGTACTGCTTTATGCATTTCTATGGATAAAGCTAATGTGATGATCATGGAAAGTAAGAGATTAAATAGAAAGAAACAGCAGCCATTAAGGTTCAATATATATAGAAAAAATTCATACAAAACCTTCGAAATAATGGTTAATCATATGGATATATCCAAAACTCTTCTCTGATGCTAAACTAAATACTGGGTCTATTTGGAAGACTAGACCAAAATTCAACTAGTAAAATTTCATTCAACTCTACAAGTGTAGTTTAAATTCATATCAGAATGGCCTTGCTATGCAACAGACTGACCTGCAGTGAATCAGAAATTTCTGTACATTCTGTAAGCTTAACCTTTGCCAAACTGACAAAAGCAGCAGGTTAAATAATATCTTATCTTCTGAGAAAACATTCTTCTCACATTAAACATGCTTCATTTCAAAAGAAAAGCTACTTACAGGACAGCACCTCACTGGAAAGTCATTCTAACCATCTCACACATTTCTTGATTGTCTGCTGTGTGAGAGAGTGCACCAAAACTTCACCTGCATCACCTCATTTAGTGCTAACCAGCCTTTTGGGCTAAGTATTATTAACTCCATTTTAGAGATGGAGAAACAAAGGTTGAGAGAAGCTGGGATAACCTGCCCAAAATTACATAGCTAGTGGATGAAAATGAAAATGCTAACATCAAGCTAGACACAGCTGATTTCCAAGTCCAAGGTTTTTTTTTTTATTTAATGGTAACTATGTACATTAATGCACTTCTGGGGTACAGTGTGGGGTTTCCACATGCAATCTGAAATACTTCCATCAAACTGGTCAACACAGCCTTCATGTCATTTTCTCAGTTATTGCTTTAAAACGTACATTCTACTCTTAGAAAGATTCACCTGTACCCCTATAAGGTAAACCTCAGAAGTAATCCCTCCAAACCCCCCAAGTCCAAGGTTTTTTATGGCCTAAAACCCGAACCTCACACTTTTGCTTTCTCTACTGAAGTGCTTTGTTTCACTCCATAAGATGGTAATCAAAGTCTGTTTCTCAGCTTCTGCCAGGATGTTAGAAATAGGCCTTTAGTTACCATTTATGAGTAGTAACCACACTTGAATTCCCTTTGTAAGTGAGTGTTAAGTGCCTGGCACTTAGTAGGTGTTACATTAAATTGCCCATGCACAGAGAGGAAAGAAAGCAGTGCAATTAAGGAGGCATCCCTAGAAAAATTTTTTCCATATAAACTTAAATTCTCTTTTCAATTTTTT